CTTTACCTTCATAACAACCCTGGGAGAATGGAGCCTGTTATTCACATTTGACAATGGGAACATTGAGGGCTGCTAACATTACATGGCTTCCTCAAGGTCAACAGCTAGGAAAGAGGCAGAGTCAGGATTCAAACCCAGATCATCTGACTGAGGGGCTCTTTCTCCTAGGCAGCTCCCAAGTGTTTGTGCACTGGTTTGCTAGTTATTCCACGTCTCCTGTATCTTGCCTCATGTAATGCTCACAACTCCCTAAGGTTGAAATTTCTAATCCCTCTTCTACAAATGATGAAACTGAGACTCAGGGGGACTGCAAATGACTAGCACAAGTATTTATCATAAAACCTTAAAACCGTACCTATCCTTTAATCCAATAATGCCAGGTTTAGGCGTTTATCCCAAGGAAACGACCAGAGATATGACCAAAGATTGTTCATTGGATTGCAATTTATTACAGAGAAAAATTAAATACCATTCTCATGTCCAACAAGTGGGAAATGGTCAAACAAATGACGGTATAGCAGAGAATGGAATATTATGTAGTTATTAAAAATCAAGATGTAGAAGAAGATCAATGGCTGCTTGGCCCCAGAAGTAGTAAGGGATTAAATTTTAAGGAGTATCCACAGACTTTTCTAAATCTTGACTGTGGTGATAGTTATAAAAGTGCACACAGTTGCCAAAACTCATGAAATCATACACTTAAAATGGGTGCATTTATTGTATGTAAATTATGCCTCAACAAGTTTTTTTTTTTAAACCCTTTTATAGAAAATATTTTTATCAAAAACAATGTTCATAAAATATTAAATAAGCCCGGGCGCAGTGGCTCATGCCTGCAATTCTAACACTTTGGGGGGCCGAGGTGGGAGGATCACTTGAGGCTAGAAGTTTAAGACTAACCTGGTCAACACAGCAAGACCCTGTCTCTACAAAAAATAGAAAAATTAGCTGGGTATGGTGGTGTGCACCTGTATTCCAGCTACTCTGGAGGCTAAAGCAAGAGGATAACTTGAGCCCAAGAGTGTGAGGTTGCAGTGAGCTATGATGACGCCACTGCACTGTGGCCCAGGCAGCAGAGCGAGACACTGTATCAAAAAAAAAACCCCAAAAAAACTTAAAGTTTATAAAACAATATTGACAGTATATTTCCATGTGTGCTACATGCATAGAGATGAGATTGGAAGAAAATAAACCAAAATAACAATGGGTTATTACTGAGTGGTGAAAATGGATAATTCAGACCTTCTTGATGTTTTTCTATATTCTTTTGTGATCAGAAGAAACAAACACTAAAAATATTTAATGACTTGTTGTGCATGACCCAAGTATCAAATAGAAGAGAGCGAAATCGGGATTTCACAGCCAATCCTAGGTTAGCCGTGCTTTCTACTATGCCTCAGAGTTTCTACTCTGTGCCAGGAATTGCTGTTTTGCACGCTCTGGAAAATTGCCTGTAAAACGTGTTCTTGCCTGCTAGGAACTTGAACTCTGCAAGGAAGGGTTAGGCGGGAGCGACTGCATCTGGTTAGGGGAGTCAGGAGAGGCTTCGCGGAGGTGGACTCCAATGAGCTGGAAAGGATGAGAGGGACCGCGGCAGGCAGAGACAGGAGGAGGAGGGCGAGAGAGTGACATGTTTGTGGGAACAGAGTCTTCAGGCAGACTGGAGGGAGTGTGAGTGGCGAGGCCGGTGGCTCTGATTGATGAGGCTACAGGGGCATCTGGAAGTTGGTCGTGGGGCACTTGAATGAGGCCTGAGCAGTTGGGGTCGACTGCTCCACAGATGACAGGACTGAGGCGCCCACTGGTCAGCAGCGCTTAATCCCTACTCTTGGCAATGACGCTCTGAGTTGAAACGGGAATCCATGAGAAACTAAAACACAGGACTGACAGATCCAGTCTGGGCCCACACTGGGGGCACATATGACAGATGCCCCTGTACTGTGGCTGGCCCAGACCTCCAGCAGGACGCTTAGGTTGCTTGGGTTACACACCTACCTCTCCCCACCATACCTTGGGGACCCTGAGGGCAGGATCAGGGGCTTCCTGGGGTTTGTATCTCTGGGACCCATCACATTGTGTACCCGTGACTGGTACAGAGTGGAAAGTCATAATATGGTTGTGAAATGAGGGAAGGAGATGTACATATCTTAAGAAGAAATCTAAGAGAGGAAGTATGGTATAATGGTTAGAGCACAGGCTCCGGAACCAGATTGCTTGGCTTTGAATCCAAGCTTTGCCACTTGCTGGCTGCGTGGCTTTGGGAAAATTGCTTAACCTCTCTGTGCCTTGGTTTCCTATATCTATAAAATGAGATAATGAGAGTAGTCATCTCCTAGAGTTGTAAAGATTAAAAGAATTAGTAGTGCATGTAAGGCACATAGAACAATGTTTGGCACATAGTAAACTTTATATGAGTGCTAGATATTATTTATAAGGAATTATCTCTAGTCCAACCTCCTTACTTTAGAGATAAGGAAACTGAAGTTCAAAGTAAAGGAAGTGACTTTCCCAAGATCAAGGAGCTGGAATGGAAATGAGGACTCTGCATCTGTGAATCCATAAATTTCTGGAGGCCAGGCATGGTAGCTCATGCCTATAATCCCAGCACTTTGGGAGGCTTGAAGCCAGGAGTCCAAGACCAGCCTGGGCCACACAGCAAGACCCCTTCTCTACAAAGAAATGTTTTAAAAAAATTAGCTAGGCACAGTGGCATGTGCCTGTAATCCCACCTACTTGGGAGGCTAAGGCAGGAGGATCGTTTGAGCTTGAGTTTGAGGCTACAGTGAGCTATGATCATGCCACGGCACTCTAGCCCAGGGGACCATGTGAGACTTTGTCTCAAAAAGAAAAAAAAAGGGAATAGAAAAAGGAAAAAAACAAGAAAAACTTTGGAATAATAGGACTTATTGATTGGCCGCTTGTCATGTGTCTGACCTTGTCCTAGACCCCGTCTGGGGAACATGAGCCATGTTTCTAGCCCTCAGGTTGTGATGAAAAAAATATGTACACAAGAAACAACTAGAGACCAGTGCAACTCAGCACACATTCCTAACTGGGCAGCATGATGACTGATGGGAGGTCAGAAAACAGAAGATCAGCCCAGGCTGGATGAAGAAGTAGGCCTCTTGGAAGGAGCAGGATTTCACCCTGGGACCATCAGGGTGGAGAAATGATTAGGACAGTGGCTTCCCATTGTTTGTGTGGAGGGTGGCCAGGAAACATCACCCCTCCCCAACTCCACAGACTCCCATCCGCGTTACAGTGAAAGGTGCAAGGCCTTTGGAGTGGGACAATCTGGCTTGGAGTCCTGGCTCCATCACCTGTCAGCTGGGTGACCTAGGGACAGTCACTTGCTGTTTCTGAGCCCCAGGGTCCTAATCTATAAAAAAGGAGGTAAAAATACATCGTTTGCTGAGTTGTGAGATTAAAGGAGCAAGCACATGAGAGACACCAAAAGATCAATTAAGATCAATCCCGATCTTCTATTTGTTGGTCTCTATTTTAAAATTAAAAAAAAAGAAATAAAAAAAAAAAAAGATCAATCCCTTCTTTCTTTTTTTGGCCCTCTTCTCTGGCCCACCAGATTAAGGAGTCCAGTAATGCCTGTATAATGAGGGATGAGTTGCAAACTGGAGTCAGAGAACAAATCTAATTAAGTTACTGGAAGAGCTTAAATTATCTTCCCCTGACACCAGGCTTTTTTTTTTTTTCTGGTGGGGTGGGGAGTGAGAAGGGTTGTCAAGAATGGAGGGAGCCCCAGCCTTTGGGAAAGGGTGCGTGTGGCGAGGACTACAGGGAAAGGGCCTAGAGAGGGACAGGTGGGCACTGAGGACATTAGGCATGGCCAGCGCCCAGTAGGGTGTCAGATTGCCTTTGGAGGAAAGGCACCAACATTTGTTGAGCATGACTAAGTGCCAGGCCCTGTGCTAGATGCCAGGGATACATCCTTCAGTTATACACGACCCTCGCCCTAAGAAGTTCCAGTTTTTTGGCAGACATTAGCAGGAAAATAATGTTCTATTTTCCAGCACAGAAAATAATGTTCTGTGCTATTTATCTTGTTCTTATAATAAGAACAAGATAAATAGCACAGAAGACAACATGATTAATACTATAAGACTGTCATAGGGAAGGTGGGTCTTGAAGGGTGAATAGGAGTTCACCAGGAAGCCAACCTAAGGAAAGGAAAAGGACATGAAGTTCAGCACCACTGGCAGAGAAATGGTTTGCGGGATGAGGCTGGGAGGGAGGGAGAGTCTAGGTGATGATGGGCCATGTTAGCCTTTATCCTGGAGTGATGGTGGCCAGTGAAAGATTTTGGATGCATGGAGGCCTATGTCCAATTTTCAAGGTCGAAAGACGTCTCTGGCTGCAGAATGCAGGGTGCACTGGCGCGGGGGCAAGCCTGGAGACACGATGCCTGCCGAGGCGCAGTGTGCTATGGTGCAGGAGAGTGGATGAGGTCTCAACCAGGAAGCTCCAAGGCCATCTTCTCCCGGGTTGCTCAACCACGTGCAGTCTTGTCCTCTTCTAAACCCACAGCATGTGGCTTCCCTCACTCATTGCCCGGTGACCCTGGGCCGTGTGCTGTGATTGTCTGTGTATTTGCTGTCCCTCCCCTGCCAGCTTGGGAGCTCTTTTTCCTCTCTGCCATCCCTGGGCCGAGGGGCTGGTTCACAGCTGGCGCCAACGTGATCTGAGGGTCTCGGGGTTCAGGAAGAGGAGCGTGGGGTGAACACAGCCTGTGACAGCTCATGAGCCAAGCCAGACCTCCAGGCCCTCTGCTCGTTCACGTCCCCTTCTCTATTTGTCCTTAATCAAACTATGCAAAGAAATGTCTTAACTGCCTTCTGTATTGTTTTGTGAATCAACACAAGAGTCCAAACCGTTTCTCGTGCATGTTTACCCACCAGAGCTGTAAGGAACTAACACATAATCAGTGGAGGAAAGGCCAGCTGGTGGTAGTTGGCCTTCGTCTGCATGGCTGTTTGCTCCCCCTGCGATAGAAAAGCGGATGGTGGTTGGTAGTCCAGGGCGTTTTTCCAGGTGAATTTGCCAGTCCAGAGGGACACTCGCACGCAGGTACTTTCTCCCTCACTCTGCCGCGGCTCCCCCTCTGCTGCTCTCTGTTGCATCTGCGTGGGCACGGACAGGGCGGTTGCAGGTTAACTGGGGCCGAAAAGCTGTTATCACCTGACATCTGTGCCAACAGCTTATGTAAAACGAGCTGGTTCCAGCAAGCACATGTCCCAGGCGGGAGCCGCCCCCCCGCGGCCTGGGCCAGGCGCCTGGGAGCCGAGTGTTGCCAAGGGCCAGAAAGGAGCAGCGCCCGGGCTGGGAAGGAGCAGCCTGTGAGAAGGGCCGGGCCATGTGGGCAGAGAAGTCAGGCAGGAGAGGACTGTGAGTCCCGGGCAGCACCTGTTCCCAGGGAGTAAATAATACTTTACCCTTGTGTCATACGCCTGCCTGTCGCCGAGCAGGCATCCAGTTCATCCCTCGTTGTGGAACCGGCGTGCTGCTGGTTCAAAGTGTGCTTTGGAAAAGAAATCAAAGGTCCTGAGGGCTTCTGCTCCCAGCTCAGCTCAGCGGCCCTCCCGGACTCCCCGACTCCCGTTCCACAGCTGCTGCTCAACTGCAGGGCTCGTGGGGAGGGCCTGCCTCAGGACGGAGCGGTGATGGGGGCAGAGAGCGGAGACCGCCCTGGCTGTGGTCCCAGGGGACAGGTGCTGGCAGCTGCAGCCTCGTCCCATCCCCCTCCCTCCCCTCCTCCCCGCTGCTCTCCTCTCTGTTTACAGTCTATTCGCTTGGCAATATTTGAAGTATTCTAAATATGGGCGTCATAGCCCAAGACAGAACGCCAGGCCCATTGTGCAGAAGGGGAATTAGCGAGTTTAAAGACAGGGAAGATTAATTGGTCTGTTTGGGAATGATTCAGTTTGGCGATTACTCTGTTTTGAAAGAACATCATTTATGGGTTTCAGTAACAGTGCCGTGCTTAAAAACTCGGGTGCTGAGGGCAAACGGGCCTGAGTTCAAATTCCAGCTTGGCCACCGGCCTTGAGTAAATGCCTATGTCCCCCTTTGTTGGGGACAACTCCTCCAGGTTTGTGTGAGTGCTGGGGACCCCCGCAGTCCTGGACACACCCAAAAAGGGGTAGTGTTCCTGCTAGCCTCTCTGACCAGCTAAGCCTCAGGTGCCGATGTCGGTGCCCGGCACAGTGAGTGCTCCGCTCAGTAAGCTAGTGTCCCTGCCCTCTTGAGTATCTGAGGGTCTTGGCTGCACCAGGGACCCTGCTGTGGGGTGCAGGAGACAAAGCCACACACATACTATATCTGTCTCTGCACAAACCCATTTTGGAGCTCACCCTGCTAAGTAGCTGGTGGTATCTCTATTTTACTGATGAGGAAATTAAGTCTCCAGTGGGTAGTGAGATTTGCCAAAGGTTAACAGCTAGAAAAGGGAAGGAAAGCCCTCTTGAATGCAGGTCTTCTCCCGCAAGCCCTGTCATCCTGGGCCATTCCACCTCCAGTTCATAGCCTGGACTGAGTAAGCATGAGCCTCTGCTCAGACTGTCCCCTCTGGCTACCCTTCCTCCCAGGATAGTCCTGTCCCCTTACCTGTCCCATCAGCTGGCAAATTCCCATTCCCCTGTGGTCCCAGCTCAGGCATCCCCTTCTTCACTAAGCTATACTGACCCTCCTCCACTCTCTGCTCCCTTCACACCCTTCACATGTCTCCGTGGCTGCGAATCCCTCACAATAACGATTTACTAATGGCCTGTGTCTGGTGAGCTCCTTGAAGGCAGGGATTGCGTCTGTCTTTCCTCCTCCCCCAGAGCCAAGCACAGTTCCTAACACCTACCAGATGCCCCACAAATGTTGCAGAACTGAATTGAGTTCATTAAGGTGTGACATTGTAGTTTTATGCTTCATAGCTACTATTACTTGCGTGCTTATGATGTGTCTCATACTATGCTGAGCATATATACTTTCTCGTTTAATCCTTAGCACAAACCCATGAGGTTTGACAAATGACAGATAGGAAAGTAAGACTCAGAGAGGTTATATAACCTGCCCCAGGGAGGTCACACAGCCAGTGAGCAGAGGACACAAACTTTGAGTCCAGACGTCCCTAAGACACCCTTAACCTTTAACACTGGGCTCCTGCAGTGCCACCAGTGCCTAACTCAGTTCCTCGCACACATCAGGCATTCGGGACCAGTCGTCAAGTTGAATGGATGGCATGGGGCAGGGGCTGGCAAGCTCTCTGGAGGTGCAGCCCTGGGCACAGACGGGGTCATTGTCCCTGGGCTCTCACAGGCCAGCTGCCATCAGTGGTGTGTTTTCAGAAGCTGCAAGTTCCCTGGGCTGGCATGAAAAGCTCTTCCTAATTCCAGGGCTGGTTTTCACCCTCATGCCTTTCCGGCCTTTCTCATCCTCCCAGGGCAAGGTGAGGTCTGAGAAAGCTGAGGAATGTGGCTGAATTGTCTTCAACAAATTCTTTGCTGATAAAACCCGGGGGAGTTTCCAGACGTTTTCCTATGACTGTTCCAGCTAAGAACATCGGGCTAAGCTACAATGACTCAGCCCTGGAAAACCAGGGCTGCAGAAGGTTCCCAGGAAGTCAAGTTGTGGGAAATCACGGGCAGCCCCAGAATCTTCAGGCCCTCTTTGTGGAGGACACAGGCAGAAGGAGCACCGTCCTGGGGTGAGAGAGGCTGGAGAGGTCTGGAGGCATCAGTGGCTCCCTCTACCATAACCTCTGGTCTGTAACAAACCTCAGAAACGGACTCGGAATGCGGGTCGCAGATTAGGGTCCTGACTTTGCACTTACTAGCTGTGTGACCATAGCCAATGACACAACCTTCCTGAGCTTCAGGATCCTCTCTGCAGAGGGCTGGCATGAAATTAAAAGAATTGATGTCTGCACAGTGCAGAGCACCGAGTAGGTACTAGAGAACAGCAGCTATTGTTGGGGGTGGGGTGGGGGGGTAAACTGCGAGTGGAGCTTGCAGCATCTGGGGTGCCCGTGTCCACCAAGACGTCCCTGCCCAGCTGCCGTGACATCCCCGACCGCTCCCGGGCTGAGTGGCACGTACTGCATCCTCCTGGCCGGTGGCTCCCAAACTGTGTTTTCTGCGGGCTGGTATCTGCAGGAAGGAATGGCTTACCCCCCGCCCATTGTGTTTGGAGTGCCTGTGTTTCACCTTGGCAAGCTACAAGTGCATGACCCTGGGACATTGTCTCAGGGGGACTTTTCCTCCAGCCGTCAGACTGGGTCTGCTTTCTTGCTGAAAAGAGGGCTCAGGAGCTTCACAGTTTGTCTGCTTCCCCTCCCCCTCCCGACTCCCCTTTCCATGGCAGAGCCAGAGGCGAAATGGAAACTTTGTGCTGAGGTGAAGAAAGATGTGTAATGTCAGATAGTATCTTCTTATTTCTGACTTTGAAGCGTGTCAGAAAAAAGCCAAATGGCCTCAAATTGACAGTAGACAGCCTTTTAAGTGTGGCCGTGACTTCTTGTCAAGTCAACAAGTATCTATTAAGCTGTGAGTGTTCGAAGACCGGGAGTCGTGAAGCCTTTCTGGACAGAAAGGGCTGTGGCGCGGATGGAACAGAGAAGAGATTGAAACCCGGAGAGGAGGAATGACATTCCAAAGGTCACCAGGCAGCTGGGGAGAGGCGGGATTTAGACACACGACTGCTGTTTGGCTTCAGTCTCTCTCCTTCTCCTCCTCTGTCTAATGGTCACGCCGTGGTGTCACTGATGTGGTACAGGATGATGAAAGAACACCACGAATTAAGGGGATACCTTCTGCCTTTGAGGAGCTTTCCATTCAGTGTACAAACCCACAGGTTCAATGATGAGCACGTGATTCTCGACAGCGTGGTGCTGGGGAAAGGGCAAAGGCTTTCCTGCAACGCTGACCATATCCTGGGTCTGCTCCCGGATGCGCCCCGCCATTCACCACTGTGGGACCCGGGACAAGTGACCTAGCCCCCTGACACCCCAATTTCCTCATCTATAAGACTACCTCTTAGGGTCACTATGAAAGCATTTATTATAGAGCCTAGCGCATGCTAGGTGTCCGATAAATGGTGGCCAAAATAAACCAAGCCCTGTAAAAATACTGCGTCTTCTCACTACACTTCCCTGTGGGTAGCTGTCATTTGCAAGGTGGATTTACGTCTGGTTTCCTCCTTCAGTCCTCATAGGAGCCTTCAAAGATAACCAGGAAAGATTATGAATCAATATTTGCTGAATAAATGGCTGAATGGATGCATGAATAATGAAACTAACATATGCAAAGCACTCACCACGTGGAACTGTTCTGAGCACTTTACCTGTTCTGTGCGTCTTATGTAATACACGCATTGCAGCTGCACAACAGCTCTATGAGCTGGGCACCACTAGCACCCCCATTTTACAGATAAGGAAACTGAGGTTCAGAAGATATTAAATAACTTGCCTAAGGTTATACGGGTGGTGTGTGACTTAGCTGAGAATGGGTCTAGGTAAGCTGGCTCGAGAGTTTGGGCCCCTAACCAAGAAAACTATATTAACTGAATGAATGCATGTTGAACGAATGAATATAGAGGCCAGGTAACCTCCTATTTTACAAGATGTTGAAACTGAGGCTGACAGAGCATAACCAACCTGCCCAACATTGCATAGTTGGTTTGGTGAAAAACTGGCAATCATATGGCAGGATTCTACTTCCCCACCGCCTTTTAACTTAGCTGCAACCATGTGACTTGCTTTGTCCAATAAAATGTGAGTGAAAGTTACATACACTACTTCCAGACGGAAGCGTTGAGAATTTGCCACACTTCTCAGAAGCCTGTGTTAAAATGAAGCCTCTATCTGCCTGGGTCCCAGAGTGACAGGAATGAGCAGTCCATCTGCCTACCAATGATAGTGAGAAATGAATGTTTTCTGCCTGAAGCCACTGAGCTCTGGGGGGGCGAGTTTGTTATCACAGCGGATCCTGGCTTCTCCTGAATGAGACGGGTGGAGCTGAGAATGAGAGCTTCGGTAATCAAACACCTCACGCAACTCCTGCTCCAGTCCCCAACCCCAGCCATCCCTGCACACACAGGTGCTTTACTGACCAGCGACTGCTCCTCCAGCTGGATTAATCTGATTGAATGAACTGGATCATTTATGGCATGAGGGGAAGACAGCTGTTGAATTCCAGCTCCTGATAGAAGGCTCTAGACAGACATTGACAGCTTGGCTCTGCTAGTTTGACACAGCAGACACCCGCTCCTAAACGTGCTGCCTTGTGTGCGTTTTTAACAAATAAAATATTACATGAGCTTTTCGGCAAGCAAGATGTAAGTGTTGAGATTATCAACAGCACCTGAAGCCTAAAGATGTAAAGTCAAGTTTAATTAACCAGTCTTGTACTTGACTGATTTTTTTTAAGAGTCTGTTAAGAGTTTTAAGAATAATTAGATACATAATCTAATAGGCTTTTCACTTTCTTTTCGGCAAATATAATAGCAATTACACAATGGATATGGATATCGAAATGCTCAACTAATTTGAAAAAAACCATATTTTGATCAGTTAACTGAATCCAACCAGAATTTTTAAAAGCCAGTTCTATATGTAGAAAGTACCCCTGATATTTAATGAAAGAAGATCATACAAAAGGAAAGTGTCAGGATTTTAAATACTGACTTCCATATATTGATTTTGTTTAATTAAAAATTTACAGTAACACCAAGAAGTCAACAGGGTCTAGGTCTAGATGAACTTTATATTCATCTTTATATATTTTGCAACCTCCAGTTTTTTACAGACTTTATATTCCTCAGTGTTTTTTGAACTTTTACATATACTATTCTTGTAACAAATAGAAAAAAATCAAGTTTTTAAAAATTAAATTATGATAAGTTTTCTTTCCTGAGATTGTCTATCTTTGGGGCCACTGCAGGTCCAAAGTTGAAGGTATATCTGACCACACAGCCCAGCTGTGTGGTCCCAGAAGCTCACCATGTAAGGGCTGGATAAGACCCTAGAGCACACTGGGAACAACTTCTCCATCTTAAAGATAAGGGGCCCAGAGGAGGAATGTGCTCTTGAGTGGTAAAGTAGAGCAAGTTCTAGAACCCAGGTTTGTATCATGGCAAAGTTTAAGCACTTTCCACTTCTCCCTCCAATTTACAGGAGCCTGTAAGCTCCATGGTTCTCGTTACTGCACTAGATGCTCTTCTGAAACTTAGATAGATACAACTTTATTCCCGATGTTCTGATCCTGTCTTCCATTTGCAGAGCACTTTACAGTTAAAGCACTTTGAAATGCACTTTGAAATGAAATGCATTTAAACCCATGACAGCCCCATAGGCTGCAAAGGACATTTAGCACTGAATCTCAGTCCTCCTCCTGTTTCCTTGGCAACCTCTTTCCACAACTGCATGCCCCCTGACCTGTACCTGTTTATTCAGGGTGGTAGTCCATGTGACATCAGCCATATCCTGGTGCCTCTATTCCTTAACCGTGTAGTTTAGGGCAAGTGACTTAACCTATTTATACAACGGACATATTAATGTGGGCTGTTGAGATAATGAAAAGAGATAACATGGAGAGAGTGCCCAGTCCACACTCATTTCCATGTCGAAGCTCACCAGGCCCTCTCACACACGCACGAGACCAACAACTTCACGGCATGCCCTTCTGCTGCCTTCTAAAGGTCTTCTCCATGTCATAGGCTGGTGCCCCCTGCCTCACCAAACCCTGGCCTCCAAGGCAGCGTCACCTCCTCCCAGAAGCCTGCCCTGACTCCTTCAGCCAGTAGATTAATATATATGCATATATATAATGTGTATGTGTGTGTATATATACACATGTAACATATGTCATTTTTTAAAAGACTTCCTCCCTTGTTTTTGCTCCATTAGAAAAGCAGATGAAGATCTGGAAGGTCTGCGCTTTTCTTCACAAGCTTTGAAAAACAAAGGTAAAGAAACATGAAAGTTAAATCTGGGTAGAAGTGAATGGGGAGAAGGGAAGGAGGAATGCCTAAGAATGAAGGAAGAAGAGAGTGGCTATGTATAGTATCTCATTTAATCCTCAGAACAACCCTGTTATGATTTCCCCTTGACAGCTGAGGAAAGTTAAGTGCCCCATCCGAGGTTGCAGAGCCAGATTAGAACCTCTCTCTGCCTAATTCTGAATTTTGTGCTTTTCCTGCAAAACCAGGCTGGGTCCCCCTTACCAGGTGGAGTGGGGTAGTGTTTAGGCACACACACTCTGAGCCAGACAAGCTGTCTTTTTTTCTTTTTTGAGACAGTCTCACCTTTTGCCCAGGCTAGAGTGAGTGCCGTGGCATCTACCTACCTCACAGCAACCTCAAACTCCTGGGTTCAAGTGATCCTCCTGCCTCAGCCTCCCAAGTGGCTAGGACTACAGGTATGTGCCACCATGCCGAGCTAATTTTTTTTTAAATATGCATTAGTTGGCCAATTAATTTCTTTCTTTTTATAGTAGAGACGGGGTCTTGCTCTTGCTTAGGCTGGTTTCAAACTCCTGACCTCGAGCAATCCTCCCGCCTCCCAGAGTGCTAGGATTACAGGCATGAGCCACCGTGCCTGGCCCAGACGACCTGTCTTGACTCCTGGTCCTGCCACTTAACAGCAGTGTGAAACCTTGGATGAGTTATTTAACTCTAGGCCTCAGTTTCACCATCAATAAAATGGGAGTAATAAAAAGAGAATGATCACTTCATGTGGATGTCGTGGACATGAAATGATCTCTAGCAAGTAAAGCACTTAGCAAGGTTCCTGGAGCAGAGTCAGTCCTCCGTAAGTGTTAGCAATGGTCACCTGGCAGACCTCCCACACCTGCAGGGCGCTCTGGCCCTGGCAGAATTCCGTGGGTCCAGGAGGAGCCCACTTCCTCTTTACTCCAGACCCAACTTCTCCTTCTTCCTCCTTTCCCAAGCGCATGACCCAGCCAGGATCCCAGCTGCTCACGTCAGGACAGCATCGGTTCCCGTCCTTTTCGCAGGTGATTTCCAACTAGGGCACGGGTGGAGTTTGGATGACAGGAAATACATCTTGCAGAGAGCAAACCAATGAAAACAAAACTCTGCCATATGCCGCATTTAACCAATTTCTTCTTTTGAGTTTCGCAGTTGGGTTTCTATGTCACACAGCGGCCGTGTCAGTTTCCGCTTTATTTTCATATCCTTCCTAGTTTCCTACGTAGTTAGAGAATGGCCCAGGGATCACAGAGCTACCGCATGGAGGAACCGGGATCTGAACCTGGATCATCTGATTCCACACCGCGCAGGGCCTCACCCTCCCTCATGGGACATGCTTGAGGACAGGCATCACCTCCTCGCTTCTTTCCGGCCACCGCCAGCACCTGGCAGCCTGCCCGTAATGGTCAGTACCCACCCCTGCCAACATCAAATGTCTTCACTTAATCTCGTCTCTTCAGAGTTGATTAAGGATCAAAGTGAGTTCATTTTTTCATTGATTCATTCACTTATTTATCAACGATGCACTGAAGGCCCCGCCTGGGCCCGGTGCTAGGGGTTGCCGATGAGTAAGACAGGCTGTCTGCACTCAGGTGCTAGTGCCCAGGTCAGGGCCAGTGCGGGGTTCTCCAGCCTGGGCGAACATTTCAATCTCCCGGAGAGCTTTTTTGAAAATGCCGATGATGCCTGGATCCCACTTCCAGTGATTCTGATTCAATGGTTACGAGGTGGGGCCCTAAGCCTTTTTATGTTTGTTTTTTAAGAATAAACTTTCTCGCCGGGCACGGTGGCTCACACCTGTAATCCTAGCTCTCTGGGAGGCCAAGGCGGGTGGATTGCTCCAGGTCAGGAGTTCGAAACCAGTCTGAGCAGGAGCGAGACCCTGTTTTTACTAAAAATAGAAAGAAATTACTTGGCCAACAAATACATATAGAAAAAACTTAGCCAGGCATGGTGGCGCATGTCTGTAGTCCCAGCCACTCGGGAGGCTGAGGCAGGAGAATTGCTTGAGCCCAGGAGTTTGAGGTTGCTGTGAGCTAGGCTGATGCCATGGCACCTCAAGTGATCCTCCTGCCTCAGCCTCCCAAAAACTAAACTAAAAAAAAAAAAAAAAAAAAAAAAGAATAAACTTTCTACTTTAGAACACTTTTAGATTCACAGAATTATTACAAAGATAGTGCTGGGCATGATTCCTGTGTAGTCCACACTCAGCGTCCTCTGTTATTAACATCCCACATCAGTGTGGCACATTTGTCACAATGTATGGACTAATATTGATTCATTATTATTAATCAATGCCCACGATTTATTGGGATTTCCTCAGTTTTTCTCCAACGTCCTCTGTCCCAGGATCTCAACCACAGCACCACATGACATTTAGTCCTCCTGTCTCCTTACGCTTCTCTTGGCTGTGTCAATTTCTTGGCTTTGGTTTTTTTTGTTGCGGTGGTTGTTGTTTAAGTTTTTCATATTCTAATATGCAGCCATAGTTGAGAATTTCTGGTCTAGGGTCAAAAGCGTGGGAACTCTAGAGGCAGGCTTTCTGGGTTCCAATTCTGGCCCTGCTATTTATTAGCTGTGTGTCCTTGGTCCCATCAAGCACCCCCTTGGAGCCTCCGTTTTCTCATCTGTAAAATGGGGATATTAGTGTAACAGTAATGACCCCATACACTGCCGTGAGGATTCAACAAAGGCAGCATTTCCCAACTTTTTCACATTGTGCATACTCATAGCATTTGTATTTTACGTATTGGCATAACACACGACACAAATTACAATGGCATAAACAGATGAATCTACTCATAGCCTGGGATGCGAGGATCAAAACTTGAGGCTCGTCCAGCTCTGCTGTGCCGTGTTCGGCAGTTCTGAGCTGACACATCTAAAAGTACTTAGATTCTGCCCAGGCCAGAGTGAGCCCCCGGAATGTTGGCTGTAAACAAATCCGTGAACAGCGAGGAGCACCACAGACAGCGGCAAGCCCCAGGTACTTCAGGGGCCCTTTGTAATAAATGACCTTGTGTGACTTTCCAAAGGGAATGTGTGTCTCTCTGCAGCAATGGGGAACTGCTCTCTCTTCCTGATGGATTTGGGGTGACCAGCCAGGGACACACCTCAGGACACCTCATCACACTGTGAGGAACAAGAGCAGCCAGGCCACTGACACCTGAGGACCGCAGAGCACCCAGCAAACGAAACCCTGGAAACTGAAGGCTGCCGCGGCCGCCTGCCTCTCTGGCGCCACCGTCTGGTGTCGGCTGGGTGGTTTACGACTGTCAGTACCTGCCACGACACTGTTTTGTTTTGTTTTTTAATGGAGATTTTGCTCCTTTATGGAGAAACTTAAGACTTGGGCAGACCAAAGAAAAGCAATTTCTTGGGATAAAAATATTAAAATCTACAATGCAAAAAAATAGTTAACACTGTCTGGGCCCATAGCAGATCCCAGAGAGTATGGTTTTTTGTTTTTTTTTTGAGACATAGTCTCACTCTGTTGCCCAGGCTAGAGTGCCATGGCGTCAGCCTCGCTCACAGCAACCTCAAACTCCTGGGCTCAAGCAATCCTCCTGCCTCAGCCTCCCTAGTAGCTGGGACTACAGGCATGCGCCACCATGCCTGGCTAATTTTTTCTCTATATTTTTAGGTGGCCAATTAATTTCTTTCTATTTTTAGTGGAGACGGGGTCTCCCTCTTGCTCAGGTTGGTTTCGAATTCCTGACCTTGAATGATCCGCCAGCCTTGGCCTCCCAGAGTGCTAGGATTACAGGCGTGAGCCCCCGCACCCGGCCTAGAGTATGTTCTTATAATTTAAAAATTCTAACTTTCCCTACTTGACTTTTTGATACAAAATGACCTATTATATTTGCAATCTGTGGTTTGTGGTGCTGAGGTCCATAGGACAAGCTAGGAAGTCTCCCAATCTTGAGCTGAATTCCGTGAGGGGTTATTTGGCTTTTGGATCAGTTTTTCCTGGTCTAAGGGGTAGCAGCAGCAACAGCACCCGCCTTCTGGACAGCTGCTTTCTTGGCGCGAGAACCCGGTAGAAGCCCCACAGCTGCACCCAGTTTGGAGGGGAGACACCTGGAGGGCCCCGGCATGGGCAGCAGCTCGGGTCCTTCGAGCTCCTGCAGCATCTTACCATCCTCTTGGCCAGGTCCCAGTGCATTGCTCCGACGAGCGGGAGCAAACATGCTCCCTGCATCTGCTTCTGTTCCCAGGCCGGGGTCTGCACCAGCCTGGAGGCCTCTGCCTCGCCCAGGGATGCAGGCTGTGGTGCCCGCTGAGGCCTTTCTGCAGGAGGAGGGCTTCGGACCCGGGAGGCAATGCCGCTGGTCATTTTGCCCCCAGCCAGGTTTTGTGACCTCAAAGTTGAGCTCAGAATCAAGTTCCTGGGTCAAGGGCTCCAGTGAGTCTTACGTAACAGGAACTTTTATTTCCTTCTCATTTGCTAGGTGCGTATGTCCAGAGGCTGAGAAATGAGAGATGGGAAGGACTGTTAACTTGAGATGGTTCGCTCTGCAGTTTACCCACAAATGTGCCAGCGCCGTCCCTGTCTGACAGTTCTCGTGCCTTTGAGCCCCAGAGAGACTTATGGATGATTTCAAAATAGTAATAAATGCTGATGTGCAGAAAAAACCTCTCACCATTATTCTACACCGTTCTTTCTGTGTTGCTCATCTTATATTGAAGTGCATAAATGGCAAGGGTTTTATAGTTGACAGAACAGGGTTCAACTCTTAGCGCTGCTGTGTGACCTTGGGTAAGTTACTTAACCTCCCTGAGCCTCCACTCCCTTATCTGTAAAGCTGGGATGAACATGCCATCCTCGAAGGGTGTGTCGGGAGGAGCGAGAAACACGGAGTGTGCAGCAGAACGCTGGCACGGTAAGAGCGCAGTCTACACGGTAGCTAGCACTGTGGGAGCCCTGCAGCTTTGCGAGGCGGGGCAAGCATTCTCCCACTTTGTAGATGAGGAAATTGCAGCTCAGAGACGCAGACTGACTGATCCATGTGAGTGGCAGAGCTAGCTGGGCTCAGACTCAGGTTCTCCCGATGCTGAGTCCGCAGCCCTCTCCTCACGCCATGTGCAAACTGCCTCCCCTTCTCCCTGCCGCAGGGTGTTCGACCCTCCGGGGAGGCTGAGACCATGTGGCTGGAGAAGCACCCAGGGTAACGGGGAGCCACCGGACAGGCGTGAGCTGGGAGTGAGGAGGACCAGACACACAGATGGGGAAATTCAACCCCGTGGCCTGGGTAGGGAGGGCCCAGGGGCGTGTGACACAAGAGGCCAGACAAGGAGACATACGAAGTCACTCAGACATAGGCAGAAATGGAGGGAGGACAATTCAACGGAGGAGACTCCAAGATAGCCTTGCGTGAGCCTCACTTGCCTCTTGTGGGTGTGGCAGGTAGGAACTCCCTTGCCTGTGGTAGAGTCTGTTAAAACATTCCTTTAGGCGGTACGTGGTGGCTCACATCTGTAATCCCAGCACTGTGGGAGGCTGAGGCAGGAAGAGCATTTGAGACCAGCCGGGGCAACATAGCAAGACTCCATCTCTACAAAAAACCAAAACAAAACAAAAACACATTCCTTTCACATGCCTTCTAATGACCAAAAAAGTGTCTTTCCTTTCTTTCTTTAGCAAAGTCCTTACTCACTCCTCTCATCATCTGTCCTCAAGTTTAGAATCAAGTGAAGTGAACCAGGAGAAATACGATTTGACCTGGGAGGCTCTGGCTGTCCATGTGATGTCCACGTGCCAGTCCAGTAAAAGTGACTAGAATTTCTGGAATGGGAGTCATGGGATCTTAGACTGAAAGGTCATCCAGCTCAAGTTCCCTGCAGTGCATGAAACTTCCCTTCCAAAGTGGTCTGCCAGGCTTTGCTTGAATACCTCTGGTGATGGGGAGCTCGCTACCTCCCAGGGCAACCCCTCACCTATATGGACAGCTCTGGATTTTAGAAAATATTTTCTTATTATGTTGGTCAGGATTCCTTCAGTTGTCAGTAACAAAAAAGTTAATGGAAACTGTCTTTAGCAAAAGATAAATTAACAAATAAGGACTATATTGTGTAGTGGGCCCTGATGTGCCACCTAGATGTCTCTCCAATAAAAGACTGTTACCACCAGCTGTTGGAGAGCTGCCAGCAGACAGCCTTTAACTGCCAGCCCCTTCTGGACTTGCTCTGTCGTGGCAGCCCTTCCAGGGGCAACCACAGTCAATGACCAATCAGCGCTGGAGTATAAATGCCTGGCCATCTCCTCCCAACTCAGATAAGTCTGGGAGACCGTTCTAGCTCCAGAGCTCCTCTGGACTTGGCTGAGGCTGTCTTCAGGCCTGCATTTTCCTCGAGTCCTCCCTCTGCCTCTTCTATTCCCTGCCCCTCCTTTCCTCAAGTGTTGATCCGCAGGGCATTCCCTAGTAAATATCTACACCCTAAACTCCATCTCAGAGACCCCTTTCTGGGAAGCAAGCCTGCACCCTTGGGCTCTCCTAATGGAAGATGCAGGTGCTATCAGCACAGCCATTCCAGGGGCTCAGCATGACAGTCTGGGCACAGTGTCACCCCTTCCTGGATTCTGCTCACCTCTGTGTTGACTCTCCCAGGTGGTCCCCAACAACCCCAAGTGTCCATGCAGCCCTACATCCAGTGGGGCAGGGAGCTTTTTATCATCAATTTTGTAAAAGTT